TCTACAGTATATAGAATCCGAAGGGAGCAATAATTGACCTGGTATACAGTATACTATGGAAAAGCTTCTTCACATCTTAATCCCCCCTTTTATGCTTGTCAATGATTATTATCCCCTTGCAATGGAATTGGAGGGAATATAGTAATGCAATCGTGTATATGTGTTTGTTTTTGGGTTATGCCCTGTGCGAAACGGAAGTGACATATTGCATAGGGATTGATGTTGAGTTCGAATGCTGCTTTGATCTATAGATATGCACTTTGCAGGGGGATGTGTTCCACCTTGTGGTGCCCTTGTTTGCTTGTTAGTCCCCCCCTTCTCCCAGTTGTTTTCTTTTTAGGGGCCTGAAGCTTTAGCTCTTAATATTTTATTTTTTTTACTTGATTGTTTTTGTATTTTGAAATATGTGAAATTTTGATTTTTGAGCGAGAACTTCACTTATTTATCATGCAAGCCAATCGATTGATCAACTTCATGAAATCCAAAAATCTGACAGTTATTCCTTGTATTTACATGCTCTTGATTCCGCCAATCCACGTGTTCTAAGCTGGTACACTTCTGTGTCTGTTTGTCCCGCCCAACGTGACTTTTTTAACCGCACCTATCGATGAACCAGGACACTGATGTAGAAATAAAGTACATTAACTATTTGTAATTTTATCTCAGACGAAGACATTGGAAATGTAAATACATGTATTACCAAATGAAATTCTATAGTTCGAGCATCATGAAGATTATATGTCATGTACAATTAGATATAAATGTGAAATATTTAGAAATTTTTGACCTCTGGGTTCTGGGTGGAGCAGGGATGAACGTTTACTGAGAATTTGTTTTAGTTTAAAAAATTTTACATACATGTATATCAAGACATTTAGCTATCAAACTGTATGCATGAAGCCAGTATGGTATGAGGCATTATTAAATCAAATTGTGAAATTTGTTGCCCCAAGCTCAGGCCTGAGGGTGGAGTAAAATTGATGATGTGTGAAATTTTGTACATATTTTCAAATCTTCATAACTTGGTCTCTAGGAGACAAACTTCAATAAATATAATAATAAAATCATTTTTCTGTTTGAAAATTGAAGTTAAATGTTGTCTAATGGGACTGAGTAAATAATCAAAGCCTGAGAAACCTGTGATACTCTGGTGAGTTTTAGGGCCCAAAGGTCTCCTTTTTATCAAGTATATGGAAGGAGAAGAAAAATAAATCTTTCATCTTGTAAATATTTTCACATACCACTTTATGTTTTAACAGTTATTACTGATACTCTTTGAAGGATTATATGATTTATTGTTAAATGTTGACTTTAAATAAAGCTAAAACTTGATGTAGATTGTGTTTTTATTTATCAGTTTATTAATGCTACAAATCCAAGAAGAGGACATTGACCCCCCCTTTTTTTTCCAAATAAGGATACAGTGCATTTCTATGGGAATGCAATAATACACAATTTTTTCTGGAAGAATTTGTGCGTTTGTTTGAAGATAAAACTGGTCTAATGATAAATGTTGCTAAGAATTCTTTTATTTTAGGATTTATTGATGAAAATACTAATACTCAAAATGCTATTCTTCTTCGGCTTAAATATTATATTTATACTGCAAGATGCACAAAGAAACCTATTAATGTACAAAATGCAATATAACAAATGAAATTTCCATATGAAACACAAAAATTTATTTCTTATAAGAATGGTAAAAAGGAAAAGTTTGATACCCAGTGGAACAGATGGAATCTGCTATTCTCTTTTAACTTGAACCTTTACTCTCTCTCTCTCAAAATAAAAAAAAAACACACGACTGTTTCTTTTGAAATATGTATATAATGCTGTATGTTGTGTGAATAATAATAAAAAAAGGATACAATGAAACTATGAATGGGTAAAAATAAAGGACAGTGATTGATTACAAAAATTTTATAAACAATACAAATCTGTGAATAGGGCAGAAACATGGACCTCTGGGAATTTAGAGGAGGGATCAGGTGCCTGAGAGGAGTAAACATACCCTGTTGACTGGTCACACCTACCATGAGCCACATGTATTGATCAGATAGATAGAACATTCTGTAGTTAAATTCAGTATAAAAACAAAGGCCTAACAACTGTTTTGAAACATGGAAGCTAAAATATGATCCAATGATAGACTATTACTTGCAAGGATTGATGGAGTAGAGGACATGTAGGTCATTGTGACCTACTATAATTGCTTGACATCATTCCTTTAAATGAAAGTCATTCCAAAGTTTTTATGCAAAGAGTGCAGATAATCATAATGGAAGCTTTCAATCCCTCTGCTCAGAGGGAAAAATGACTTATACAATCAACATACAAGTATGCTATCCTCCTTATATAGACAGTTTCATATATTTTTTTAACCAGATACACAATGTTTAAAACAACAAATCAAATAATCTTTTATTTATACTTTTTAATACCTGATTATCTATCACAGACATTTGAAACTGCACAGTTTTAACATTTAATGTATAACACTACCATACAATTCCATTTGGTCTTTTAATGAAGTTCTCTGTATGTATGCTGCCATCATATTCACAAAAACAGTTCACTTCTATTAATGAACTGACCTCAGGGCAAGAAAATAACTTTCTTGGATAAAGTTTTCTGTACATTGATTGAATTCAAAAAATAAATACAAATTTTAATTTTACAGCTTAGATAATTCTTTCAAGGGACCATGCCATTCTTCCTCTGAAATTATGAAGAAGGAAAGGATTTTTTAAAATCTATATTATTTGAATAAACAAAGTAAAACTTGTGAACTGCAAAAGAATTTCAAATGTATTACTTTAATCTATACATGTTTGTCTATATTCTTTGCAAAAAAATATAAATAAATTTGAACATTTTAAAGGATATTAATTGGCACAATTGTTAATCCATAACTGTTGTTTAATTATTTAAAATTAATATATAAAATAAAGCAAATTCCAACTTTTATAAATAAAGCATATTCCAACTTTTATCTCGTCTACCAAAGATACAGCTTTAAGTGATGTAAAGAAGTACATGTACAATGTAGGATGTAAAATTAAAGTTATCATCAACCCATAGAATCAAGCAATACTTGCCTAACAACATGGCTAATATTGGAAATCTATCTGATCCAAACACTGATTCTTTCTTTCCATTGATGTGTGCAATAATCCATGGACTTCCAAATGCCTGAAAAAATCAACATGTTTATTGTATATTAAGTTTAATGGAGCTTTATCTCTTTTCAGAAAATATTGAGTGACATCTAGGTTTTTTAAAAGAAAAATAGCATTAACTACATGCACATATAACAAATTCTTTTTTTTTTTTAAATTACATGTATATACGGTACACATACATGTACTTCCATTTAAAATTTGCATGAAATTTCATCTTAAAATGAGAAGGTTTATGAACCAGTAAATACAGAGTTTGTATCAAATTCACAATCTGCAGAAATTTTTAATACTCTCATACAGTCAGTCACTCACCCCTTCCTCTAATGCCTGTTTTGTGTACTGAGTAAGTCTGTTTTTCACATCTGGTTCACCCATTCTCTTTAGAGCTGAGGATATCATATCCTCACTCATTCCAGCTTTTTTGGCTGCCTGATATGAACCAAAAAAAAGAAGAGTTTACTTCTTAGACAAAACTGATGCTTCAGAAAAGTTCACAGAATGATTACATGTATCTTCTATGTTTTGCCCAAAATGAATTAATGTATTTACTTATTTAGAAAAATTACTGTGTTTTCATGATGACAAGGAAATACATGACATTGTATAACTATTTTTCAAAGAAAAATACCCACCTCTGCAAAATGTTGAGGTTCTGTGATTGGTTCATCCTATAGAGAGATAGGAGAATATACAATTGTAAAAATTTATTGAAAAGGAACATAATGGTTTAAAATTTCACAAGTTTCACATAGAAAACAAATTTCAGAACCTGAGGATCGAAGTATTGTAAACCAACTTTTATTCGTGACAACATCATTTCCTGATTTTTCGGGTAGAAACCAGTTCGCGACGATTGATTTTCGTAATCAAGACTTTTTTAGATCTGTTGTTCATAGTAACAGAAACTTTAGGGACCCGTTTGCGGTGAGAAAAATTCGCGATAACGAGGCTCTTGCGAATCTCACGAAAATTTCTCATATGCGAATAAAAGTTGGTTTACAGTACATGTACCTTAATTTGCTTTTAAAAATTAAAAAAAAATTTGAAGTGATAAAGGAATACATAATCTCCAGAAATAATACAATAATTTTTATTTTAAACTTTATGAACCCAAATTTCCTAAGTAAAATCTTGGTTTAACATGACTAGCTGCATTCTGAAAATTGGACTTGATTAGTTTGTATTTTTAAAAATATTAAAATATACATGTCCATGTATGAGCTTCTCCCTTTTGTATGTACATCTAAACATTTTTTTTTTTTAAATTAAGGATTTACACAACACCCCTTCCCCACTACTTAACCTACCCGGTACATGTACAGTAAAAGGGAAAAAGAATGATCTCTTTCATGTATTTGTATCTAAAATTAAACCTTTTAAAGTTTATAAAAATAAACAAAAAATGGTGCTACATGTACATAGAATATATGAAATTTTTTGTGTTCACCCCCCAAAAAATCCATCCTGACCACTTTAGCATACTTGCATTTTTCCATATTCGGAACCAGAATTGTCTAGAGAGTTCCTCTGTGTATTCTGGGTTGGTCATGTCCACTGCAGTCAGGAATCTCTGTACTGGGAGTGTACCAAACATTACACTGGCAAAATCCTGTAAAAGTCACATCAACACAATAAAGAAGTCAGGAATCTTTGTACTGGGAGTGTACCAAACATTACACTGGCAAAATCCTGTAAAAGTCACATCAACACAATAAAGAAGTCAGGAATCTTTGTACTGGGAGTGTACCAAACATTACACTGGCAAAATCCTGTAAAAGTCACATCAACACAATAAAGAAGTCAGGAATCTTTGTACTGGGAGTGTACCAAACATTACACTGGCAAAATCCTGCAAAAGTCACAAGACATTAAAGAACATTTACAGGCCAATTTTTTCAAAGAAAATAACATGTATCTATTCATCTGTAATGTAAAAGACATTTTGTAGGAAATGCGTACAGTTAGGCATGTAAGAAAATATTCGTGAAAATTTTTACTACTAAACATGCAATAAGTATACCAGGGTATTGGTTTTCAATTTAAATTATTTTTGTTTTACTGAAAAATAAAGTCATGATTCCTCTACAAATATTTAGGAGAAATACAATTTTAAATACAAAAATAAAGAAATTGAAGGCACGTCCCTTTAAAAGTAAATTTCTGTCTACATATCACAAATGAGGGAGATCTTTGATTATTAGAAACAAACCTTGGGTTGTTTCAGTGGAATTCCATAATATTTTCCCAGCCTCTGAATGTCTTTTATCATGTAGGAACCTTTATTTGGCACCATGGCCGGGGGTTTGTTTCCTGGAAAAGAAAATAGCATTTTATATAATATCATGTATCATGTACCATGTATCATGGTTTATCTCCAAGTACAAAAAGCACTTTTTCTTAGTGTTTAGAGCTTCCTTGAATGGATAAAAACTCCAATTGATACATGTACATGTAATGTATAAAAAAACCCAACAGTTTATTATTATTAAACATTCATGAATTTCTGACAAAAATGGCAAAAAATACTAAAATGATGTCACGCTGTCCCTCAGAACTCCAATACTCGACAAGTAAGATTCATTATAGGTATAGGTATAGGTAGTTTGTTACAAATGTTGATGTTATCTATTTTAAGAATTTTCAACCTGATTCTTTCATGACTCCTCCAAGAAAGAAAGGTTTCAGCTGCAGGTCCATATTTGGCCATTTTGTTCTGTATCGACACAAAATCTAAAATACAGAAATATAATGTTGAATGCTCATCATTAAAATAATACTCTGCAGTGATATTCAATTATAGCAAACACCTGGGGATCTAAGCAATTATAAGCTTTTTTTACCTCCTAGACTAGAGGTATTTTAATTAAACTGAATATAACATTCATAAAAAAGATTTTGAACAGAAAAAAGTGCAAACTTTAAGACTCTTCTACCAGTAATTATGATAAAGTTTAATCCCTATACATGTATATTGTATTTTCATCATAATCTCACCCTAGAAATAAACAACCATGAAAAAAATAATGTGATACTCAGTCATCTTCACTAGCCAAGGGTTTCTAATATGCTATGATGAGGCTGATGAGGAGAGTAGCGTATCAGAAACCCTTGGCATATGGTGCAGTCAAAAGAAGGGACTGTTTTAGTCACGTGATCTCGAATCTACCAGGCATGCACAGATTGCATCATTGACAAAAATAAAGAAGAGTCTTTAAAATAAATTATATCAAAGTTTTTAAAGAATAATTCAAAAGAAAGTATTAAGTTATGTCTATTTGTCATTTAATTTAAAGTACAAATCTACAGCTTCAATATAGATTCTTAATCGCAAATTTTGCAGAAATTGGGTGGCACCATAGCTATTCATAGAATGACGTTATCTTACTGATCATTGTTTACTTGCGTTTATCATTCCTGAGATTAAAGAGTCAAGATATACCCCAAACGCAGATATCATCATTAAAAAAAAATTGCTGATTGTTTGAACGATACCGATTGAATCCAATCAAAACTTGAGAAAAAAACTCCCAATTTTAATGTAGACTGTATGCCATGAGGAGAGTTGCCTATCAGGAACCCTCGGCTAGCAAAGATGATATTCAGTAAGCTTGTGTGTATTACTTAATAAACATTCATGATTGTGTATATTCCATTGACATTCTGCCAGTGAAAAATAAAAGTACCCTTTTAGACCCAAAGAGATATTTAGTAATCAGTGGTTGAAATCTTTTAGTTGAGGGGGGGTGATTGGAACCACATTTTTTCATGTGACCGTCTAAGTTTAGGAAACTGTTGTGGCGGTCAGCCAGGTTCGATCGCCGGTGGCCAGATAGCTCAGTTGGTAGAGCACCTGACCGGAGTTTCAGGGGGCCTGGGTTCCAATCCCAGTCTGGTTCGCTGCATTTTCTCCTCTCCCGTTACATTTGGTGACGTGCCATGCCCTGGAATTGACAGGTGAAAGACCTGCCAGAGATGAGCCTGGGTTGGGATCTTTGGAGGGCCAAAGACCTTTAAGGAGGGAGGAATGTAATAGTTTGGACCGTGGATATCATCCTGGATAGCTCAGTTGGTACAGCACCTGACCAGATATGCAGGGGTCCCGGGTTCGATTCCCAGTCCAGCTATATATTTTCTCCTCTCCCGTTACATTTGGTGCCATTGACCACCCCTTGCATTGCAGGCGAAAGTCCTGCCAGGGGCTAACAAGAACTTGGGTTGTGTCTTCGAGGTTGAAGACCATTTAAGGAGGGAGGACTGTGACGGTCAGCCGGGTTCGATGCCGGTGGCCAGATAGCTCAGTTGGTAGAGCACCTGACCAGAGTTTCAGGGGGCCCGGGTTCGAATATTGATCTGGTCCGCTGCATTTTCTCCTTTCCCGTTACATTTGGTGTCATGCCATGCCCTGGAACTGACACGTGAAACGCCTGCCAGGGATGAGCCTGGGTTGGGGTCTTTGGAGGGCCAAAGACCTTTAAGGAGGGAGGAATGTGGCAGTCAGCCGAGTTCGATCGCCGGTGGCCAGATAGCTCAGTTGGTAGAGCACCTGACAGGAGTTTCAGGGGGCCTGGGTTCGGATCCCCGTCTGGTCCGCTGCATTTTCTCTTCTCCAGTTACACCGTCCTGCACCAGCCCACATTCTTTGAGACTGTTACTGTTATGAACAGAGAGTCTTCAAAATTTCCTTGTACAGTCGATTCACGATACTTGTAGTTGTAGAACTGTAGTTCTCTGCTTGAGAAAATTCGGACACCTATATCTATCCGAATTTTCTCAAGCAGAGAGCTCCATTTCTGCATTTAGATTAACTGTGCACATTTTTGCAATCATTTTTTCACAAACATGACGAATAAACTCAATTACAATGACAAATTAATGTCTCTGTACATCCATTTACACTAGAACGATGTCAAAAACTAAGTCTAAGTCCAAAGTCCAGTGTTTCCAAAGAGCTTTCAAGTTCACTCGTAATCCTAGAGAATAAACGGCACCATGAATGAATGACAGCGGAAAATTTATTTACAGAATGGTGAAGTAAACATTTCTCAAATAAAAACGATACAAACTTCAAAGCCAATCCATGTATATGGCGAAACAACATCATAGAAAAGTTCGACAGTTTTCTTCATGGGCGCCGCCATCTTGTTTTACTGGCTAGTTCTTTCTTGAAAGAATTCGTAAACATAATGTAGAAGGGGTGATAAACTATATAGTGTCATTAACATTTATTTGAAGTTTGTACCACATTTTTATGAGTAGAAACACTATGATTTTTCAAGGTAGCCTAAAAGCTTTATTGCAATTTGATGTGGATTAAGTGCCTTCGGTCTTTGGGGCAGGTGCACGCGCCCACCCTCTTATACTGGTATATTTCATGTCTTCATATTGGATGACCTTAATTTTCTAATATTGTAATATATATTTTGGAAAGAATTTTTCATAATTTGACGAACATCTGCCGGTACTCATATTTGGATATTTTTTCTAATATTGCTCTGACAAGAGCATTGAGACTATATTACAAAGGAGACTTTTTTTCACCGTCAGCTTTCCGCACCTCCTGTTCTTTCTTCTTCTGTAATATCCAAAAATCACTTGCATAACGTGTTTTTACTCCTAACCAATCAACATTCTCTTCATATACGATTTTTTAAACCTGAGATGGGCTACTGACAAATAAATTGATGTAATGGGGATTTCGACATCTCGCTTTTAATAGCGATTCTAGAGTTCAAAAGTACTGGACTAGCCCTGACTTAATTGTTGACGGCTTACTTTTACACTAGGACAATGTACGGAAGCTCCTTTACGATATAAACATTTCACTCATATTCTACGAGTATTTAAACGAAAATAACAGTTTTTTTTCAAAGCATAAATAAGTTGCCTTTGAAAAAACGACAATCTTTCGACACTCAACTCCCGCCCATCACATGTTAGTGCCCCTAACACCATACATATGACCACAAGAAAGGTTTCCTTAGTATCTATTATCAATTCTGTATTATGAGGTATTTTCATTGTGTGTACTTGTCTAAAGAATATGTCCATCATTTGACCTTGAAAGTTCTGAAATTCTGGTGATAATAAACTTGAAATAAAACTTTTCACTAAGATTAGAAAAAAGTTAACAATTCACTAAAAAATATTTATGATATCAATACCTCCATTTGGATATTTGACATCTACATTATAAATTATGTTAAATAATGAAATCTAAAATAAACTGTGGGTGTAATGAGCCACCTTAACGTCAAAGAAAACCGTCAGCTGTAAAAGTCAGTGCTTCTTGCAAAAGTCCACTACTTAGTAAAATAACTACTGACCTTATCATCGTTTATATACAATAAGATAAATCCATTGATAAAAAAATGATAAGACACAACCTCTTTAGAAAACTTCACTTTATTTTATTCCGAAAGATACATCTTTATGCTAGTAATAACCCTTTTTCGATTGTCCCCATCTGAAAAATAAACGAAGAAATACTTAATTATTTCCTATGGGACTATTTGCAACAAAAATAAAAAAGACTACATTGTCATAATATATTACAATTTTATTTCATAATATTTACTTTACGAAGTATCATTGATTTAAATAGGAATTCATTTTTGCTCGTGTATTTTATATGTTCCTTTGTGTTAACTCTTTAAGTCATATCACCCGTTCATGTACGTTGGTGCAAAAAAAAAATCATTACGTGATGTAAATGCTCTAACATGTACATTTTGATATTGATATAATTATATACATCTTGTCTATAAATCAAATAAAAGTGCCTTAGAAAGCAGGTGATACGATGTGCTTAGCCTTAAAAATTAAAAAAAACTAGGGAACAACTGACAAAAAGCTGAGAGCAATTTCTTGTAACAAGATAAATTTAAAATAAAAAGAATATCTTGGTACTGCATAAAATAACATTTTATGTAACAAATGATGGGCGAAAAATATCAGATTAAACGTCTTCGACTTATAACTGTGTAATGAACGGTAAACTTGCATATAAATATGTAAAAAGCATAATTTCCGTAGAATATAAAGATATATTCATTTCACACATTAAAGAGTTGAAATCATATCAAATTTGCTGACAAATGGCTATACACACTTCTGACACAATGACTTTAAGTAATAATTTGTCAAATCGTAACGGCATAATTAAAAAAAAAAGATTACATCCATCTTCGAATGCATTTCGTTGACATAATATAGAATAAACTGACCATATTTGAATGTAACTTTTTCTTCACATGACACAATAAAACTCTGACATATATAGGAAAGACTTTATATAAAGATGTATTCACATCAAGTAATGAACTACTTACACAAAGTAGGCAAGAGTTCATACTATGTAATGAAGAGATGATATTTTATACAACATATTACGCATGTTTATGAATTTTGATTAAGCAATGGAATACACATGTTTGTGTATTCATAAAGGTGTATATAATTTATAGAACAATACTTGAAAAATGTTTTTTTTTTCCCCCTGTTTCCTCTAGGTTGAAATATTCTGAACTTTATCCCAATAATTTCGAATTTTCAGATTAAAATGATATATAATATCATTTAAAATGGATATGACTATAAAACATAATCTTCATCTGACAGAAAAACAATGTGTATAAAGTCATCAATTTCCCCTTGTTTTAGCATTTTTTGGTATAATATAAACCCTGCTAACTTTATACAAAAAGAGAATTCCTCGAACTGACCTTGAACAGCATTGTTTTAACAAGCTGTAGCCACAATATCCCCGAGAATATTCATTTCTATAACAGTATTGTCTGCACTGACAATTTCTGCCAATCCCTGGGTACCCTCCGCCGGGATACCAGTTTCCTCCGCCAGGATACCAGTTTCCTCCGCCCGGGTACAAGTTTCCGCCGCCCGGGTACAAGTTTCCTCCGCCTGGGTACCAGTTTCCGCCGCCTGGATACAAGTTTCCGCCGCCTGGGTACCAGTTTCCGCCGCCTGGATACAAGTTTCCTCCGCCTGGATACCAATTTCCACCTCCTGGATACATATTTCCGCCACCTGGATACCAGTTTCCTCCACCGGAATAATAAGTTGCAGACACTAAAAAAAGAGATGGGAACATGCAGCTCGAATTTCTCGATGTTATTTATGTACAGTCTGTTCTTAATATTTCAACAATATTTTTCTAAGCATTTCTTTGTACTTTATAAACTGAAACAAAATAAAACAACAATGGCTATATGGCACTATTTTCAAATTGAATTTTATATGACAATGTGATGTCTGCAACTTTTTCTCGTCAACTTTTCCGAGTTTTATTTCAATATCATCTTCATAAAGTATATATTCCCGAAAACTGATTCGGTGCGCAAAAACATGTCAGTTCGAACCGCGGCAGCCTACTGACAAATAAGTTGAGGTGTTACAGGACTTTAAAAATTAAAATCTCGTTAAAAGTAAGAATTTTGCAAATTCTTTGGTCGATATAAAACTTTGTTCAGAAACCTTCCGTTGAATCAAATGAAACACATTTCGTCCCATTGTTATAGGTCTCTGTACTATTTTTTTTTTTATTGAAAAGCGTTTAAAATCCGTCTTCATGACCATTAACAAATGCCCAGGACACGTGTGATCTATCTACACATGTAGAGGAAAATGCATATTCCACCTTCGATTCGTTATGTTTACAAGACTTTGATATTAAAAACTTTTCTTTACTTTCAACTCTGTAAGTTTGAAACAGATCGTCAATAACCATCATGAATTTGATAAGTATTTAATTAAGTAAGAATTAATTCATTTTTTATTATTACTTTTCATATAAGAAAAACATGCCTGAACAAAATCAATAAATTTAACCACACCAAGAAAAATTGTTAATTCAAACATGCTCTGTAAGGACAATAAAAAAAAACAGAGTTTGAATGATCAACTTATGATAAATTTGAAATCTCTAATAAAAAGTTTTCTTTATTTTATAAATAATATTATATTACCTGTAAGGCCCTATTGAATAGAAAAAAAAATAAACTAAAAATCTACCTGCAGCTACAGCAATGCAAATCACCACAAAGGCAAAATTGTTAGAATAGGCCATAACACTAGATCTTGTAAGTCTTCTAGATGTGATGATAAGATCTCAAACATTGGACTTATATATATACAATATCTAACTGGTCAAATTTTGAAAAAGCATTTCCTTATTCCATAAAGAAGAATAATGATGAAAGATTGCAGTTGTACAAGGTTATTATTATCCCAAATAATGATTAATTTCAGTAATTATGGTCATGCTTACTGACAATGTGTTGTTCATAATTGTAAACATGTTATTTCTACACAAAACAGTCACACCATGTCAATTTCTTTATGTATGATTAACCCTGTCAATTTCATTTAATCATGTTATGTGACAAAATCCAAAAACATACGTTCATCAATGAGTAGTGTTTATAATCTTATTCTATGTACAATGTACGTTAATTTGCGTAATTTTCATTTTAAAACAATGGTAATGAGTAGATTTCTGAGTGGATTTTTAAAACTTATACTGAGAATGCACATGATTGTGTCAAATTCTTTTTCTGATTAACTCCGTTACTCTTGAGTGTATTTCACCCCTAAGAATTGTAGTCATGAAAAATTAATACATGTATGTAGATACTCAATATATGTATATACTTGATGTACTTTAATTTTCTTAATTCCTTAATTTGATAATGTAAAGTTAAATGTTAAAGTCATAGCAAAGATTCTAATTTTCTTGAACTCATTTGAGATACAGATAAATTGCCTTAAGTTTATAATCAATAAAGAGAAAAAAATATCAAAATCATAATTTTTTTAATAGTATTGAAACAAAAAATACACAGCTTGAATGTGGCAACAAAAAAAAAAGATAATATCGATTCATCCCTTGTGCATAAACTAGTCATAACATTAATCATTTTAAGAGTTCATTCAAAATAAGACAGCAATGATGAACTTTTCCCTCGCATTGATTCTCAATATTAAATCAAGATCAATCCAGTCGACACTCATCGAAACGAAGAACCTGTGTCTCATTTGGGTGTTTTAGAAACGCTGGATGACAAAATGAGAGATATGTCCCAATTCTTTTCCCTATCCTCGTAGTGAAATCATACGCCTTTTCCTAAAGGTTTTCAAACGTGAAAATGTGATCGCATATTTCAAACCCTCTGTCCTTCTTCTTAGAGAAAAATGGTTTTAAAACCTTTGAGCCTTTGCACTCTTGCGTGATAGTAAAAATGCTCTTCAAACATTCCCCATTTTTACTTCTCAATGAAATGGGGACAACAATCTCTTAAACTCACTCCTCACTGAACAGAGGATTCAAAATAACAATCTCCTCATCCTCCTTAAATCCATGAAGTCCGTAGAGGCCGGAGCATTCGAGAACGGTTACGATATACGGATTTTCGAAGATGGAAGAGGTTTCCGAAATATCAGCCTGGGGGTCGTAATCTGAAGAATCTTCGTCTTCTACCTCCCATCGATGATAAATATAGAAAGGAATGAGATGGTGGCCCGGGTTCACCTCGCTTTGTAGTTGTTTTTCAATGTCCTCTCTACATGGATACTTACACATATTTGCGAATTTATGATATACAAAGCATGCCAGAAAAGTTAAAATGATGCCTACGCCGTACAATAACAGAAGGTATTTGATCACAAGAAATTGCTGCTCTCCAGTTTCTTGGTTTTCTGAGTCCCCATCCTGCTGAACGCGTATAGAAACACGCAAAGGTGCACTCATGCATTGTGGCAGCCCCATTGTTAACCCCGCCAACACTTGACCAAGAATTTTAGATCTCCCCATGTTTTTTGTTGCGTGCTGTTGATAAATTCTCTGCGTTACTATCTATGTCCTCACAATAGATGCAACGTCACAATGAAAGGTGTACTATCTATTGTGACGTCATGAGGAATATTCCATTTAAAATGCTAAGATTTAAGGTAGGATTCTTCTCACATTTCTAATATTTAAAAATTAGTGAAATTTTCACAGAATCAAGAGGACAATATCAGTAAGTGATAGTATCAGTGAAATTAAATTTGACCGTTTTATATTAGAGGCAAGGTCATGTCAAGGTCATTATCTTTTTCCTTGACATTAAGAATAAAAAATAACTGGTGCCAATCATGTGATACCTACTTCTATTTCAAAAGTTAAATGATTGTTCTTTTTGCATAAAAACATATTACTATATCGGGTCTATAGCATGATAGTACCAAATTTACATAAATGATTTAACTTAACTGGATATTGGCTAATCCGAATTTTCTCTGTTTTTCTTAATTATTTAGGATATATTAGTTATTTTCATATGCTTCCTATATTTAACTTTTTCTTATTTTCACATATAATAAAGTAGTCTTATAAATGTACAAAATGATACAAAAACAAAAAGTTTTGATCGTCTACTAAGAGAGAAAAAATACTTTTTATGGATTTTTGGATCAAATCTGCACTTTGATAGGAAGCGTTTAAAAGCTAATACAGTTCTAGTTTGTTTGAAAAATCATATTTATTTTATATATTGTGAAAGTTTAGTCCCTCACTATTAATCTTACTTACATTTGAAAATTTCTCCAAGCCTTCGATTGTGTAAAAATTATAACTAAATTCATTGTTCTATTATAATTTTGAGAGGCAGAAAAGAAGATATTTTCATACGCCACCATTCCGCCAAAAATATAGTCCCTGCTAGTTTTCAAACGCAGTTTACCATTTTTATTTAAAGTTGTACAATTGTGACGACGGAAGAAAAATATGGTCTTTTAAATTCCTTAAACCTCAATATATAAGACATATATGCAAATATACTTTGAATGTTTTATCTAGTCAGAAACCAGAGAAGAATCCTACCTTAATAGGGTCACTGTGTTAAATACAATTTTGAGATGTTTTAAATTAAAGATGCCGTGTTTAATAGTTTTGATTAAAAATCAGATATTTTCTGAAAAGGAAAAACATGAAAACAAGGATACTGCATAGCGCAGCGCCCCCTCACAAATCGCATATCTTTAATTCACGTCAGCATTCGGCATCGATCACGGTACAAATAACGTCACTTCCGTTTTGTAATCACATACACACTCATCCACAAAATAACACATACACTAGTACTCGCGTTATTTATTCCCTCCAACTACGTCGAGATAAACAAATATGATTAATAAATGTTTTATTTTAAAAATAATATTTCGACCCGTGCATGAACGAACCTTTATATGTATATATATAACAATTTTAATAAATATGTTGTATGTAGATGAATAAAATTAGAGTAAGACATAAAACTTAGAAAATATTACACATACTGAAATTAATTATACATGCATAATATAATCACGAATATGTGTAGCTGACAACAGTTCTTAAATGTAATATCACTAGAGAAGGGAGTCTAATTTATGGGTGTTTAAATTTGATATTAACAATTATAAATTTTGAACAATTATCAATTTTACATGAAGTAGAAAAAATCCACATGTATATAATTGTATACCTTGATTCAAAAAAACATTTTGATAGTTTTGTTTCGTTTCGGCAGATTTCGTTTCGTTTCTATTTCGTTTCGCATTTTACGATGTGCTTACGGCTAAAGCTTGATCCAATAAATGTACATGTATATTTGCTAAAAAAAAAAGTTTGAAACTTTAGACTACTTTTGCTTAATTCGATTTGTGCAACCCAAAAGATCGGAAGAAAAGATTAATATTCAGAAATCTCTTTTTTGCTTGCGAACCATAGTATAATCACATACATTTATATATACATGTAAGTATACAGTATGTATTATCCGGTGATTAGATAAATAAGCAGACTTTCAAAACAATTTTTACACTAAACATTATTAAGGGAGTCAAACTGATCAAAACAACAAAAAACTTTTTTAAAAAGAAAAATTAAATTGTCTGCATGGCTAAAAAAGGGTATTAATGAATACATATGTATATGTTAATTGAGAATGACATTTCGTTCAACGTATAAGACATATTATCACTTAATTTTCTTCTTTATGATGATGTATGGTAAATTATGCGTCAATACCTTTTCCTTTAGCAAGTGCCTCTTCAAAACATAAAACGGTCAATTTTTTGACAAATAGTTAGCCCAACCAAATGTACATTATGTTTAGTTCCATCTGACCAAGTTGTGCTCTTAGTATAAGTGGACGGCCATTCGCCGTTTCTTTTTTTTTTTCTGGACACAATCACAGAAAGGTCGATGTCCTCTTCCTTCGTTGCACAGACTAATTTGTATGTTGGGGTTTTTGACTTTTTTCACAGCAAAATTACCTAAGGTCAACAAGAAATAAACGATTAGATAGTTCGTAAATCAAAGCTGACATTTCTATCTGACTCTACTGACATCTGATTGGCTAGAATTTATTGTTTATAGATGAGGAAAACCTTTTACAATATTCATCACCCCTATGGTAAAGGATTTGGTCTTGCGGCCATTGAAAATTGACCCTAAATATTTTCAAAATTTATCCATAATGAAGAGAAAGATCATACTTTGTCAGTTGACGTATCTAAGGGCCTTTAGGTATTTTGATTCACAGCTCAAAATTACCACTTTCTGAGTTTTGCAGCTTTTCACTTTCAAAGAGTCATGCCAAGAAATCTCGTCCGATTTCGACAGCGATGGAGTCAATAAAAGTGTAATTGATGCAAATCACCCATATTCCCAAAACGCCAGCAAGACAATTTACGGCAGCAGACTTCTGGGGGTGGATCCTAGGTTTTAAGCTTTCTTAGTTAAAGAAAAAATAAACTTCCACCCCAGGAAGTAGTACAAATACCCTAAAAAGTTACTGTCAAATATCTTTATTTACAAAATACGTAAAATGCTAGAGGCACTGGTACCAAAATTTATTTAAAAAAAAAATTGGACTAAAGAAAATAAGAAAAAAACAATCAAAAGAAAATATTCATTTTAAAATGAAAATATATACATAGCCAATCGGGTAACGTCTACCCATTCAGTACTCGTCTCCATCTTGTTCAACCAGGAAATGATGTAAACTTCCGGAAATTTGGTACTCTTTTATCTCTATATCGACGCGGTACTTCCACAACTACCCGATGTCAATTTATTTGTACTGAGAAAAAATATTCTGAAATTGTATTACGTAAAAAAATTGAAAGGCAGCTTATTTTATTGAAGAATTACTTTAATATAATTTATTT